CCTCCTGAACAGTGGGAATGCTGGCACCTTCCTGCCCTCCCTTGACAGCTAGTTTCCACCTCCAGTTTCTTCTCCAATCCATCCTACACACCAACACTGGAGCTCTGTTTCTAAAATACTCACTTAATCATGTCTTTGCCCCTCAGAGACCGTGGTTGACTGATGGAGCCAGGATTCAAACCCAGGGCTGACACCAAACCTCAGACTCTTGACCATAGAGTGCTACTTCCCTCCGCTCTGCACACCCATGCTGTGGCCCACATAAACCACCCATCACCTCCCAGAAGCCCCGTGCAAATGTACATCCTGTTCTTCTGTTAGCCTAGGACTAACCCTCCCACCCGGTTGCCCACCTCTCTGCCCCTCCCCTCTCCCTATTTCAAACCTCTCCCATGCATTAAGCCCAGTCAGGTGCCATCCCCAAGAAGCCTACCCCTACCTCTACTTCCCTCAGGACTTTTTTCGTGCTTCAAACGAGCATTTTATTTATTTGATTCATCTAATTGTTTTAATTTTAGTACTTGTGCATGAAATTTTGCACACAATGGTGGCTTCCTGGACCCCCAGCCTCCGAAGAGTCCCTGGATCCTAATCAAAAGAGATTACCCAGAATGCCCTGGGAATTGAATGGGGGGGGGGGGGGGGGGGGGGCCGCTCCCTCAGCAGACATCCCAGACCGTGTACCGCAATGAGGGTGTTTTCCTTGAGGGCACCTGTTCTGACTTTCCAACCAACCAAAATTCCAGGGAGTTTTGATCCCTAAAGAGCTGCTGGTCCCAGGCAGATTATCTCCTGCTAAGAACCCTGGTTCTGGGAGCCCAGGCTCACAGGCAGGGTAAGCCTTGCAGGCTTTCAGCAAAGGGAGGCAGTCTTTTAGGAATGCAAAACAGCCACATCCACAATCTCTCAGGCCCACAGGAGCAGGGCAGGGGCCTCCGGAGCAAGATTCCAGCAACTTCTGCAAAAGCCAGAGAAGGAAAGTGGGGTATCATCAGCAATTATCGTAACATGGTCATCTGCGGGATATATTGTTAAGTGGACAAAACACTGGGGGACAGTGTTTCTACAATGCTGCCTTTGTGTAAGAATGGGGGGGGTATCAATATATCTCCCCAATGTATTGCTCATGTTTTTCAAAGTGACACAATAGCATGATAAAACTATTAAGAACCATTACCTTTCTATAAGAGGAAGGGAACAGAGAAGACACGAGAATAGAAATGAGTTTACTATACCCTGCCCTATGATTTTTTGAAACCACATAAATTTTTGTTTTGCATAATTAATCTAAGAAAACAGTTATATCAAAAAGGAAAACAATAAACAAGCTCTCATAATTGGAAATGAACTGAAACCATTGGACCTAACTCTATTTCAAGTGGGTATGTAACCACAGAGAAAAGAACTACTTCAAGTAACTTTAAAACCATTTGTTGATTCCACATCCCTAGAAGGACATATTATAGAGAATTGTGGTGGTTTTTTTTTGTTTTGGGTTTTTTTATTTTGTTTTTGAGAAAGAGAGAGAGAGAGAGTGCGAGCAAGGGAGGGGGAGGGAGGGAGGGAGGGAGGGAGAGAGAGAGAGAGAGAGAGAGAATCCCAAGCAGGCTCCATGCCCAGGGGGGAGCCTGACATGGGGCTCGATCTCATGACCATGAGCAGAAATCAAGAGTCGGCTGCTTAACCAATTGAGCCACAACCCAGGCGCCCCCAAGAACTGATTTAATCACTTTAGAAAGGCAGTCAGTAGTCTTATTGTTAACAGTCATGTCAATATCACATTATGGAAACTATTATATGTATGTTGCATAAGAGGAGGGAATTACTTTCTCCACAATCAGCAGTTTTCCAATTTAGCTGACGCCCACCAGGCTGCTTTGAGCCCCTCAGTTACAGCAGTGGCAGAAACCACCCTTCCTTCCTCATTCTTGCATCCTCAGTGCCTGGCTCACAGTAGGCCCCCCGCGAGCAGCTGTTGTGTTGAAATGGAGTCCCAGGCCCCAGGATTCTACCTAAATTCCCCCAACTCGTAGTCTATCCAATACCCAGGAGGCCTAAAGATAGTTTGCACCAACAGGCGAGGCAAATCTTCAGGGTACCCAGGATATTTCCAGATGCTAACCTAGCAGATTATCCAGAGGCCCTGGTTAAACACTACCTCTTCCTAGAACATGTAAGTCCAGAGGTGTTTATTAAGCACTAGCCAGAGGCTCCACTCTGTGCTAAACTATGAGGGGTTTCTCCCAAAGTGTAAGACAGGACCAGGAATATGTGTCAAGTCTCCTTGGGTTCAATGTGAATGTCTGATGGCCCTGGTGAGTCCCCTCAGAGGCAGGCTGTGTTAGGATGCAGATTTGAACGATTTTCAACACATGGGCTTTCAAGACAGCTCAGGGTTTGAATTCCAGCCCTGCCGTTTACCAGCTAGTAACTCTGGACGAGTTCCTTACCTGAGCTGCCTCAAGTGAAAAATAAATGCAAAAATAGAATCATAGAGTCATTGGGGAAATTAAATAAGGTAATGTATATGAGATGTTTAAAACAGAACCTGAAACATACAAGGAACTCAGGAAGTAGCCCCTACGGTAAGTTTCTTCTGCTATAGCCCAGGTCTTGGGTTTCTCAGTAGTCTGAAAGCCACCTACGTCTTCTACAACAGCCAGGGCAGTCAAGGATGTATTGGTTCGAGATGCAACTCTAGTCCCTGCAGCCCCTGTACAAATCTCCCCGTCTGCAGGGCTCGGCTCCAAGGAGTCCAGCTGGGTGCATCTGGCTGGGGAGATTAAATTATTTTTGAATTCCTAACTGAATGTTCTTTTAATGGAAACTCAATGACAGGCATTGAAATAGATTTCCTCCATAACCCCTCCTCCCGCGGCGCCCCCCCACGCGGCTCTGTGTTGCGCTGTTCCCGATAACCTTTATTCCCTACCCCTGGACTTTTATCTCCCCAGTGACAAACAGCCCTTGCTGGACAGAAAGAGGAAATTCCAGTCATTGTTCTCAAACTTCTGGCTCCAAAATAAAATGCTCTATCTCCCCTGTCAAGCTTTGATTGACATGCACTTCCTGTAATGGCAGACAACAACGGCCCAGGGGCGGGGTCAGGGGCTCATTTGCATCCTTTGCATCAGCGGTTTTCACGTGTGTTCTGGACGGGGAAAGATCCCCCATGCTACTCACCGGACCACCCTGTTGAGGACCCATGTCCCATTTTGTGAAAAATCTCCAGGGAAGGCACCTCCTCAACTGTCCGCACGGCGCACGGGGAAAGTTCTTTGCTGTCCTGTCACCCACCCATAAGCTGTAGAAACAGACACTCTAATCCTCTCACTTCTTAGATTTGGCTGCTTACAGCCCATCTCTTCCTTCTTCACTTTCTCTCTTGTGGAATACATTTTTAGACCATCTCCCAAACCTTAACTCTGAATATTGGCAATATTGAGTCCACCTAAGCCCTGGAAGACGAAGCCAAGTTGAGACTCTCCAACCCCAAACCCCCATAGCAACAGAGCTAAATGAGGCACTTCAAGGGAAGTGAGTACCAGGAAAACTTTGAATATGGTACAGCATCACGGATGCAGTTTTTCTTGAAAGGAATACACAGCGACGAATTGCTTTTAGAATGGATTGATAATTCGGTAAATAGAACATGGCACACCTAGAACAAAAGCAATACTAACGTGGTCAGGTCCTGCTGGGAACCATGTTACCTCACTGGAGTAAAAAGCCTGCCTTTAGCACTGGCATTAACCCATAGGCAAGTTAGCCTTCTGGAACTTTCTATTTCCCATATGTTTTCTTTACTCACTGAGCTCCTATGCCCTTGGCCTCCCCCTCTTTTTAAACATCCAGGGGTTTTATGCTGTTTTGGGGTTCCAGCCACCCCTTAAGATTATTAAAAGGTACCTGTGGGCCCTCATTTCCTCAGGGCTTTCCTGGATATAAGTATATTAATGATTGCTAGAGGTTCATGGGGGATTTGCATGAAGAAAGAGACTCCAGGGGTGCCTAGGTGACTCAGTCAGTTAAGCGTCCAACTTTGGCTCAGGTCGTGATCTCATGGTTCATCGGTTCAAGTCCCACATCAGGCTCTGTGCTGTCAGCGCAGGGCCTGCTTCGGATCTTCTTCCTCCCTCTCTCTCTGCCCCTCCCCCGCTCTCTGTCTCTCAAAAAGAAATAAACATTAAAAAAAGAAAAGGTGGAAAGAGACTCCAGATAGGAGAATGCCTTAATCCTAATAAAGGAATATTTGAAAGCATGGATTCCCCCGAATAACCCAGAAAGAGACACCAGTCACAAAGATTCCAGTTGTTCAGCTCTTCAGCAGTCTAAAGGAATAGATTGCATAAGATCATTTCACTTCCGGCAATCCCCAAGCATGCTGCTAACGGAGCAGAACAGACCGGAAGGAATGTGTTCTGACCCCCCCAGGTTAATGAAGGGACTACGGAGTCATACAACCTCACGACAGTGGCCAGCAGAGAATTCTAGCTCCCTCATTTCCTTTAGCTTTGTCAATAGATCAAATTGCAGTGCCAGCATACCTCCAGGCACAGAGTAATCTCCCGTGTAGGCTAGTTGTTCCGGTGTTACGGCCACGGACAAAGTGCACAACTCTTAGCCCATCAGACTTCTTACTGCTCTTGGTCAGGGGGACCAAAGCGTGTGTGTGAATCTGATCAAACTCATCCCCGGGCCCCGGAAAACAGAACCATCCTTGGTGAAAACTGCCACAGCCGCCGCTTCATGTGCCAAGACACATTGGAGTGATTCGATGGAGCCGCACAGGAAGAGGCACGTCTGTAGCCAAGGTCACTTCCCCCCCCCGCCCCCGCCCCGGAGGTGAGCTGGCGTCGAGACAACATATGGTCCTGTTTGCCATCTTCCCCCACCCCTCCCACATCTCCCAGGAGAAAGTCCACCCTCAGCAAGAGGGCTGTCACCTGTTGGTCTGTTACAGTTCATGCACTGTAACTGACACTTTTGGAAAGCACGCGCACAGTTTCAGAAATTTAATAGATCAATCAACACACCGGGAACGTTTTGATTCCTAAGCAGCTTTGAGTACCATTCCTTCCAGAATATATTCACAATAATGCAGAGGAGCCCTGAAAGAGACATTCACAGTAAAATCTTTCTCTACAGATCCGTCTTTATGTTCAGTTGGTCCCTTTGAGGAAGGGAGACCTCGTGTTTTCCTCACTGTGGGGTCACAGCCCATCCCACGCATCTCCTTTAGAAACAGCATTTCGGTACAAACTCGAGGCAGAAGAACACAAGATACTTTTTTCTTTTTCTCAGAAGCATTGGCGGTACTGTCCCTTCTACCCTGACGCTGCTCCTTCAAACTCTTCACTGCCTTCTTGGAAGATCAGGAAATACTCTTTTCCCCCAATTCATAGCCCCTTACCCCACCTCACACAAACTGGAAGAAATAACATCACCATTTTCAAATCAACCATTCTTCCTTGCAGGAAGGTGTTCATTGAGATTCTAGAGTGGTGATTTAGCCTCTGTCTAAACGTGCCACGTGAGATCGTTTGGGCCCAGACCGAACTTGGGCTGCAGTGTCTGGCGGGGCCAGAAAGTAGATGGAGCTCAGCGCTCCTCCCCACGTTGGATACATAGAGATGGAGAGTCCGTGGACTCAGCCTCCCCTTGATCTTCAGTAAACACAGCATGACCCAGACTAGGACCAAAACTCCAACAACCAGGGCTGGAGAAGCGCAGAGCCTCAGATGTTCTTTGAGTATCAGTCTTTTCTTGCCATCTTCGATTAGTTCATTCTCTCCATCCTCAGGAGACTGTTTTTTTTTTTTTTCTTTGACAAAAGCCAATGTTAAAAGTGGCTTATTTTTTATCAGTAGAATCTAAATAAGAATTCTGATCCCATCTAAAGCTCATAACTTCTTCAAAGAGAATTTTAAGATCTTTTTTGTCCTGTCCATGAAACTGTCGATGATTTTGTCCGTTTCTATCAACATTGCATGATTTCAAATAATCATATTCAAGATTCCAAGTGAATTCCTATGGCTTCCATATTGCAGTTTTCTAGAAATATATTGCATGTTCTAATGCAGGTGCCTTGTAGAGCTATGTGTCTTGCAAGATCATGGCTATGGAGTTCAGGGGCATGGTGCTGGTAGACGTTGAAGGCTCTTGTCTTAATTTCATACCCTCAAATTTTCGATCACTTCGTCATACTTCTAGTCACCGGGTATCTTCAAGACTTTCCATTACTCCTGTTGAAAAGCCACTGTCACATTTTGGTGTCATCTGTTTCATTGACTTCTGATAAGACGAAGTTGGGATTGTCATAGCCTCTCTTCATCCTGGCTCTAGTATCTTTCTCATTATAAAGGCACATGGCACAGTGAGGGGTCTCCACTTCCACTGTCTTGCTAAAGTTATGGAAATCCACTCGGTATTTCCCTTCCTTTGTCTTGGATACTATGGGAGCAAAGCGGTAGCCCCAGAGCACCTCTTCTGGGACGTAGGACGTCCGGACTTGGCAGGTAGCACTAGTTGATTCCACTGTGCCATCTAAAAACACCACTAATTCAAAGTCTTGCTGGGGAAGGGTTTCTGCTGCCATGTGGAAGAAGGGGCTGTTTGGATCAATGACATGGTAAATTGTCAGTGGGGAGATGAAGAATAAATTTTCGTTCCCTGCGTCAACTACAAAATTGATGTTGATCTGGTCCAGAATAATGGTCTCTCCTTCAGGAGTGACGGTGGTCTTCAGAAGCTTTCCATATATGTGACTCCCGATAAGGAGGCTCTTCCTAAGATTAGCCACTCGGATTAGGAGACAGAGCTTCCCACCCCGCTTACTGATCACCGCATTCTTGCTGAATGTAATGGTCTTGGCACGTTTTTTGGGTCTGGAGATCTTGGCTAAAATGGCACCACACATGAAAGAATTGATGATGACTCCAAGTATAGACTGGAAGATAAGGAGAAAAATGGCAGTGCCACATTGTTCTGTCACACACCTGAATCCATATCCAATGGTCACTTGTGTTTCCAGAGAAAACAGAAAAGCTGAGGTCAAGCCATTAATGTTCTCCACACAGGGGGTGTGGTTGACAGAAGGATGGAACTCAGGGAGATCTTTGTGAATGTAGGCTACCGCATACCACAGAAGACCAAAGAGGAACCAACTCCCCAAGAAGGCTGTAATGAAGATGGTCATTTTGTATCTCCATTTGAGGTCAAGCACAGTCGTCCAGATGTCCACAAAGAATATGAACCTCGACTGTGCCTCGACGTTGCCAAACTCGATGTTGCACCTTCCATCTTTGGAGACCAGCCTCGCTCTTTGTCGAGAATGCCCAAAGAAGTGAGTGACGAACCATTTCCGAAGATGTTTGAACATTCTTTCTGTCAGCACTCTGATCTGAAACACATCAAAAACAAAACAAAACAAAGCAAAACGAAATTATGTTTATAGCAGCAGCTATAAGCAGTTTATAAACTATAAACTAGGTGGGGGCGCCTGGGTGGCGCAGTCGGTTAAGCGTCCGACTTCAGCCAGGTCACGATCTCGCGGTCTGTGAGTTCGAGCCCCGCGTCAGGCTCTGGGCTGATGGCTCAGAGCCTGGAGCCTGTTTTCGATTCTGTGTCTCCCTCTGTCTCTGCTCCTCACCGGTTCGTGCTCTGTCTCTCTCTGTCCCAAAAATAAATAAATGATGAAAAAAAAATTTTTAAACTATAAACTAGGTGACTCACATAAAGAGCTAACTATATATGAAAGACCATTCAAAAGGATCTCAATTACTGATCAAGTTAGGAAAGCTAACAGTTTATTCTGGATACCACAACACTATTTTCGGTAAAAACTTTCCACTAGGACACCATAGTGCTTAAATATGAAGAAGAAAAATAATTACACAGAGATACAAGTGGAAGGAACTTAAAAGGGCATATATTCAAATGTTTCCTGCCTTTAGTCAGTGGCACACAAACTGAAAAATGTTTGTGATAACGAATTATGTCCTGTACTATGATTTATTTGATATCATTCTTTATTTTTATTTAAAAAAAATTTTTTTTTTCAACGTTTATTTATTTTTGGGACAGAGAGAGACAGAGCATGAACGGGGGAGGGGCAGAGAGAGAGGGAGACACAGAATCGGAAATAGGCTCCAGGCTCTGAGCCATCAGCCCAGAGCTTGACGCGGGGCTCGAACTCACGGACCGCAAGATCGTGACCTGGCTGAAGTCGGACGCTTAACCGACTGCGCCACCCAGGCGCCCCTTGATATCATTCTTTAAATCAATACTCTTTCTCCTTTAATAAACTTAGCCTTATGCTAAGCAAAAATATCTGTGAAAGCAGGCGCTGGAAGCACTATTTACATTTTTGGTAATATACGACAACAAATAAGTATAAAAAAGGCTCATCAATATACTACCTAAAGCATCTTATACACTGTTATTATTACTCACTATCAAAAGAAATCCTGACCCAATTAAATTTTCTCATTTGTCCAATGAAGGAACTGAGATCCAGAAAATTTTAAGGACCTATCCAAAGCCTTGTACTAACCGGTGGCAGGGTGACAACTGAAAACATAAAACGTAAGGTTCCCTGCTTCCAGCCCAGAGGAGACTCTACCAGGCTGCATCTCAGTTATTACCTTTTATATTCTAAAGCCAGATATGCCTCAAACATTTTAAGACAAATATTGGTCAACTTCCTTTTTTTCTCCCCCTTTAATGCTTGAGACTATTTAGAACAGGGCTCCTCAATATGGTTTGGTCAAGTCCTATCATATGATCTCAGAAGTTTTCTCAATAGAGCTATAAACCTGTTTCCTGTCTCTCTCCACGGTATGCCAAGATTCCTAAAACGAATAGTATGACGGTCACCTCAATATCTCATACTTCCTTCCCTGCTCCTAAGCTGAAGGGAGCTCTGATTTCAATAATACTCCATAAAGCTAGAACCATGCTTTATTCACTCCTCTCTTCCAGATGCCAGCACAGTCTATGGGCACTTACTAGTTATTCAATAAACATAAATGGAATAATTCAGTGAATGGGTTAAGCTCTTCAAAATACTATCTGATCAATGGTTTCTTGTTGATGACATTATTGTGACTTTCAGTTTCTAGCAAAAAAAGTGAAGGGATTTTCCCCTAAACAGCCTACAGTGATGAAACCCATGGTCATCAACACTAGACTCCCTCTCCCCTAGGTGTGCCCTCCCCCATCCCAAGGTGTGTCCACCATGGTTAGCAATGTCTTCGTGGTATTTTTAATTAAATGCAAATATGTTTCTAAAATAGATTTCAAAACCCCCTTCAAAAATGTGTTTATTCATACAAACTGGGAAGCGAAACCAACTTAGTGATAGATTTTAAACAAAAGTCCTATCCCACAGTGTTTTGCTCACAGCCTTAAAGCAGGTGAAAACACAAGAAGCCAACACCAGGTAGAAGTAGTGAAGAGAAAACCACAGCTGTGGTGATTTGAAATTTTGAGGACAAGTTCTAAAGATATAAAAAAAGAAAATGCTACCAGGAGAGCAAACAGCAGTGCACACACTCAGAGGGCCCTGCTGACATCCCACCCAACCCTCATTGACCTCAAGTCCCCAAAGACTCTTAGGGTTGGTCCCAGGTGAGGCACACTGAAGAAGAAGAGTCTACCCCCTCCCCAGTCTCTCTCCTTTCTCTGCACACACATAGTTAAACCTGGCTTACATTCACTGGGGACTTCTCCCTTTCCTGGGTTCCTGGAAGCTCGCACTGTTTTAAAAGCTCTTCATAGAGTGGATGTCACCTAAAATGCTAAATTCCCAAGCCAACATTTATCAAGTGAATCCACATTCTCTCCATCACGCATTGCATTTCCAGAGATGGCTCCAAAAACGCAACTTCTGAGTTTTTCTTCCTCACGACTGTTCTCTTCCAGTCTCAAGTTCGTTTCATTTTGATAAAGAACATTTCCGTAAAGGGAGCAAGTGCCCTCTGATTTATCTCTTGGATCCGTTTGGGTTTCCATGCCTGCATGGCTAATAAAATATCTTCCTGGCTTTTTAAAGAGCTCAAACAAAAATGTCAGCTTATAAAACTTTCCCCCAGACCATCTGCACTTACCAGCATCCTAAGCATATTCCAAACCGGAGCTTCCATGCCTAGGGAAAGCAAGGAAGTGGCCTTGAGAGTTGCCCTCTGTATGCAGGCTGATTTCTTTTAGACTCAGCCTAATTTATTTCAGGCATTGGTCAGTGGACTGATGCTAATTTGTATTAGCTTGAAAACGCTTAATTTGATAGTGGGGTTGTGTGGTTTAAACCAAAGCAATTGGTTGTTCTCAGACTAAGCCCCAAGCTGGGTATGTTTTTTTTTTTTTTTTCAGACCTCACATGGCTTGAATACCGTCATGCTAAGACATGACAAACCCCCAGCCAAGGTCTCTGGGCAGCAGGCATGGATTGAGTTCCAGCATTTTCCTCCTCTCCTTTGCCACGCTCCATATAGCTCTCTTACTGTTTCTCATAGGTCATGCCTATTAGCTTTCCACCAGAAAGAATTAGTTATCGTCAATCTCTCAGCCTATTCTCTGAAACACACTGAGATACTGAGATCTCCAAGTGTTCGCAAAGACACGCGTGAATATGTAGACTTAGATCAGTACATATTTGTAAGATGAAAGTAAGAGACACCAGGAAGAAACAAGACACCATGATAATCTCTCTATACAATAGTCCCTGTCAGGTAAGAAACAGATTTAAAAGCGGCCTTTATTGTCGGACTTACTTCATAAAATCTGGCATTTACTGAACGTACTTTTTACATGTACTAAGTGAGCCAATGCTTTTGGTTTATTTATTCAAAGAGTGAGAAGAATTATACCCAGAGAATGTAAGAATACAGGACAAATCCACCCCTTGACCAAACCCATCATTCACATGGCAGACCCATTATACTCAGCACATAGCCTACTTTGCTTAGACGACGGCATTTAATCTAACCACAGACAGAGCCAATATGTATTTGTTGTACCATTGGGTGGTTAGAGGTCGGCCCTGGTGTCTGGGCTGTATAACATGTACAGTTTGTAAGTTACTTTCTGTTGAAATCAGTAAATCTTAACAGCAAGCAAAGGGCTGTGCATTGGCTAATATTTACCAAGGTACTCTCAGTAGCCTGGTAGGGCAGGTGAATTATATTATTGCCATTTTTCTCCCCTTCAGGGCTCCAGTATGCTTGTTCTGTAAAGAGTCCATTCTCAGAAAATAGACTTTTTGTACACTTTCCAAACGTTGGGGCTATGTTTACCGTGTAGGGTTTCAAAAACAAATAGGACTCTGTTCCCACTCTCGAGGGGCTCACAGTCAAATGGGGAAGTGAGCTCAGTAAGTCAGCAATTACGATGTGGGGTGGGGTGGTGCGTATGTGCCCAAGAGGAACATCTTTTCTAAAAGACCTCTATGGGATGGGTAGTCAGCCCCTGCAAAATCCTTCAACTGACAGAAGACCCGTTGCCTTTTTGCACACATTAATGTATTTATCTATCATCATTCAACAATGTTGTGTTGCTATGCCAGGCTCTGTGCTGGACATTAGAGACGCACACGATCGTCTACCAAACGGGCAGTCTTTGTCACTGTGAAGAAGCTTCCAGTCAAGCGTGGGGGTGGGAGACGCCACGATGAGAAACCGTGGGAATGCTCTGGGCAGCTTTTTTTTTTTTTTTAAATTTTTTTAATGTTATTTTTGAGACAGAGAGAGACAGAGCATGAATGGGGGAGGGGCAGAGAGAGAGGGAGACACAGAGTCAGAAGCAGGCTCCAGGCTCTGAGCCATCAGCCCAGAGCCCGATGCGGGGCTCGAACTCACGAACCGCGAGATCGTGACCTGAGCCGAAGTCGGACGCTCAACCGACTGAGCCACCCAGGCGCCCCGGGCAGCATTTTATCTGAGAGGCAGAGACGTGCTCTCCTGGGCAAGGCCTGAGCATGGTGTTAGACTCGCATGTGGTAGGAACTATAAGTATTTGTTGAGCGGTGATAAAGAAATTCATCAACCCACGCATAAAACCAGTGGGTTGGCTATATGGGTCCCCCTCTGGGATGTTTTAGAGGAGACGTACCTGTGGGCGTAGTACTAACCAACTGCACTGTAATTGTGTGTGACCCTGGAAGAAGCAACAGAAGAAAGAGAGAGTGGAGGGATGGAAAGAGGTGCCGGGAAAGGCAAGCAAGGGTCCACACACTCACTGGCAGAGCGCCACGAGAGATACTTTCATTGTAAACCGGGATGGCTAACCCTTACGAAGACCACTGGTCTAGTTCCGCTTCAGTGACAACTCACCATAACACCAAATAAGTCTGAAGTCTCTTCTGTTTAAGAGCCCTTCAAATTCCTGGAAATAAACATCTCTTCC